CTCCTCCTCCTCCTCCTCCTCCTCCTCCTCCTCCTCCTCCTCCTCCTCCTCCTCCGTCGCCGCGCTCGGCGTCCGCGCTCTGGCACCAACCCTCTCCAACTCAGGAGCGACAGAAGGACGTACACGTACATGAATCCACGCTGGTTTCGAGAGTACGCATTACGCAAATGTTCGTATAACGCGGCCGGTCTCGCGGATCCAAGGGCCGTGTTCATGTACATAGCTGGGCGCGTACGTCCTTTGTGGGCTCCCTACCAACCGCGGTCCGTCCGGGCACCCGCCCGGCTTCGGAGCGGATATCCACCGTTGCCAGGCGTGCCGGGCTCGGCCCAGCGCTTTTTGGCCCTCGGTGCCCTGCTCGCGCGTCGCCGACTGGCGCCGCCCACCCACTGCTGCAGTACCCTCGCGCCGTCACTTTCGCTCGCTGGCTAGCCGCCTCGGTGCCTGCCCGCAGGCCGCTCGTTTATAGTCGAAATCGATGATAGGGATGGGTCACCCTCCCAAGGATCTACAGGGTCCGGCTTGAATAAGGAGCTCTTGCTTTTCAAAAGGGGCTCGGTCGTTCCTTTGGTTTGAATGCGTTCCGCTACCCTTTTGGCGGCGAGCCCCCCTGGTGTTCCTTCGGACTTCCTATAATTACTTGGGAAAAAGGGGCTTCGTTCCTGATTTATCGTTTCTTAGGTCAGGCCGAATACTGTACCCTTGCATCCTTGCATCGCCGGCCCATCCTTGGCCGCTTTCGATGGCCAGCCCCGCTCGAAGAGCTTCGGCACGGGCGGCCAAGAGGCTTGCATCCTTATCGCGCACCTTTAACTACCAGTTTTGACTGTACCTCGGGGGTGGCCCGCTGGCTGGGCCGCCTCGGCGACCGAGGGAGAACAAGTTCTGTTGCCCGACGGTGTCTGGTGGCCGACCGCGCGGCAGTGGTGGAGGAGGAGGAGGAGGAGGAGGAGGAGGAGCAGGAGGAGGAGGAGGGAGGAGGGACTGTCAAATGGACTGTCAAATGGACTGTCAGAGTGTAGGCAGGCCTCTCGGGGCTTTGACCGCCCCGCCGCGAGCGCCGCCACCTCGGAGGGCCTGTGGGCCAGCGCGGCAGGGGCAGTGGGCTAGGAGCTGGGAGGGAGGAGGGAGGAGGGAGGAGAAGGGAGCAGGACCCCCCCTGGCCCCCCTTCTGAGATTGTGGGTGCCCCCCCTGGCTTTCCGTGCTCAGAAGACTGCCCCCCCCCCCCCCCCTTTCCCTCCTGGCCTCGCCCCCCTTGTGCTGGAGGGTGCTACCTATGCGCCTGCGCCTCTACGCCGATCCTGGCCACGCCCTTCCGGGCCCAGAACGGGCGAGCCTGGTCTATGCTCTCCTGGCCAAGCCAGGCGAGGTTTATTCTAGGCCTCCCAGATGGGGTCCTCCTCTTTCTCCTCCCCCTCCTCCTCCTCCGCCTCCTCCTCCTCCTCCTCTTCCTCCTCCTCCTCCTCCGAGCCATTTCCAGGTTTCGAGCTGAATCAGCAACCTTTTGGTCCGCGCACTTGGAAGTGGCGCAGCGGGCCAGAGCCAACCTTCAGTGATCCGTTCATGGCAAGCCATGGGCAGGCGCAACACATCAAGGTGTGGACGTGCCGCGCCCATGCGTGCCGCTTCCAGAACTTCGGCTTCCGCTCGGAGTGCTGGCGGTGCGGCGGCAAGGCTCCCCAGCACGTCCTCAACCAGCAGCGCCGGCAGCCCAAGGCTGGGCAAGTGCGGGCGCCGCAAGGTGAATGGAGTCGGGGGCCACCTCGGACCTCGGTCCACAACCCGCGGACCGCTCAGCAGCAGCCCATGCAGGAGTGGCCCGACGAGGACAAGTTCACCAACGACCAGCTCTTGGCTCTCCTCGAGAAGCGAGGCGTGGCTAAGGAGTCTCGGGTCCTTGGTGAGGTGCGGAACTCCTTGGCCGAGGCCCAAGCTGCCGAGTCTGCCCCGGCCGACCTGTCGAAGAAAAGCCTGCAGGACGTCTTGCAGCGGCAGGTCAAGAAGCAAAAGCAGATCGAGGCGGCCAAGGAGCGTGTCGCAGAGGCCGAGAAGGTCTTGCGCAAGGCGCGCGAGGACCACGACGCCGAGGTGGAGCAGCTCGCGCGGCACAGGGCCGCCCTCGCCGACATCGACAAGCACGTCAAGGCCGCCCAGGCCAAGACGGTGCTCCCCGCGGTCGCCGGCCCCGAGGCCGACCTCGACCCGAAGCTGGACCTTGAGCACCTTGTGTTCCTCAAGCAGGTCCTCGAAAGCGGGAGTAAGCGGTTCGGCTTCGATATCTCAGGTTTCAACGCGATGGCCGACGCGAAGGAGGCGGAGGTCCAAGCCAAGCTGCAGGCCTCTGCTCGGCTCGACGAGCCGAAATCCTTCACATCAGTAATGTTGGGTCTCGGAGCCAACAGGGCGGTTTTTCATGTTTTCCATTCGACGTTCCATGAAGCCCGATGTCATTCCGAGGCCGCGCGTCGAACGTTTTCGATGGCGCGTCGCGTTATGCGATGTCACGTGCGTTGGGGTCGTCAAAGGCTTGCGTGCTTGTTGCGGATCGGTTGATGTGGGCTGGGGTTTCTCAGGATTGTACATTTGCTTTGCGCTGGGGCGGTTTCGACCCCCATCCCTGGCTGATCCACCCCGCGGGTAACGCCGCAGGAAGAGTTCGATCATTTAGTTCGTAGTGCCAGCGATGCTGTCGCGGACATTGACCGCGCCACGGGGGGGGGTCGTCCAGAAATTCCCTACCATATTGCAGTGTTGGTTCTTCGTTTTGAAGAGACACCGCCCCGCGTCATTCCTTCCGGCCCCCTCCCTCGTCCTCCCTCTTCGCGTATCTGCCCCTGCTCTCCGCGTGTCTCCGTCGTCATCGTCCATCGTCATCGTCGCCATCACCATCATCATCAGCATCATCAGCATTCTCGCCGTCTCCATCATCAATACCACCACCATCCTCATCAACATCATCAAAACACCCCCCTTGTTCCCCCGCGTCTCTGCTTCGCCACATCCCCCGCAAGTCTCGTGGCCTTGTGAGGTGCTCCACCGAAGGCCCCATCGGCAGGGTCCTTAGTGCGCCGCCCAGCCCATGTCGGCACGCCCCTCAGACGCTTCGTGTCCCCATGAGGAGCTCATCGGAGGTCCCGGCGGCAAGGTCTACATGCCGTCGCCCAGGCCACATTGATGACACCCTCAAACATTTCGTGCCCCTAGAGGCAGCTCCACCAAACAAAAAGGTCCCAGCGGCAGGTTTCCCAGGCCGCCGCCCAGCATATTTCGGCATACGTTTCACACGCTTCGTGGCCCCACGGGGAGCTACACCGACGGCCCCACAGGCAGGGCCCACAGGCCGCCGCCCAGCCCATTCCGTCATACGCTCACAAGCTTCGTGGCCCCATTGGGGAGCACCCCCGATGGCCCAAGCGACAGGGTCCACATGCCGTCGCCCAGCCCATGTCGTCCACGAGTGGCGCCCAGCACGGCTCCAAGAGCGCCCCAAGAGGCGCCGAGTAAGTTGCACCCTCATGCAAATAGTTTTTGTCACTTGTGGGGGTCCTCTTGGGGCCCTCTTGGAGCATTCTTGGGGCCCTCTGGGAGCGTTCTTGGGGCCTTCCCGGGGCCCCAGTGGGCCCTCGGAGGGCC